ATTTTGATGATTTTAGCGACATTATTTACCGGAATTGTTTAAAGTTTAGTATTTGAAGTTCGTAATGGATACTATAGCCTAAGACAGAAACTTGTCTGTGTAGGTCCACGTCTTCGTATAGCCCCCCATATAACGGTACCTCCCTATATTCGGTATTTTGATGATTTTAGCGACATTATTAACCGGATTTGTTTCAAATTACGTATGTAGAGTTCGTAATGGGAACTACAGTTTGTGGCAGAATGATTATGATGATTTTTAATATAACGGCTACATTCGGTATTTTTAAAATGTTAACAAATTTTTTAAGGATTTTATCTCCAAATTCGTTCCAAATGGTGGAGGGTATTCAAAGTTCGGCCCGGGCGAACTAACTGCTTTTTAACTTGTTTATTTCTCAGATATCTTGTGGAATAGATGGATGTGGAATAGATGGATGTGGAATAGATGGATGTGGAATAGATGGATGTGGAATAGATAAGCTCTCCTTTGCAGGTTTTTGCCATTTGCAGTTTTTCACTCCCCTTTTATAGAATTGGGTAATTCGAAATTCAAATGCTTTGTAGTTTTTTCACAAATAAAAGGATCCATTTAACTATATGCATCTTTTTAGATAATTTTCATTTCAATTGAAGAATTTATTCACTTCATTTCAACTTCGTTTTTTCACATCAGAGGTCATTTGGCATTTTTTGTATTTTATATCTGTTGATTTTTGATTTTCCTTTTTAAGGGTTGTCAATACCTGCCCATACATATTCTTATATTAGGAACGCACTCATCAGAAATGAGCAATGCTGGAGTATATATTCATTCAAATATTACAGAATAAAGAGTTAGAATAATTAAATCATGGAATCAGCTTGAAAAATGTGTCTCCAAAAATGCAGAAACAGACAACCACCTAGATGATTACATTCAAAGATCAATATTTTAAGGATATATATGCCTTGTAATTTTTTTGACAATGTATAAATTTTATAATTATTTGAATGGACCGGAAATCCTGAAGAAGTTGAACATGCGAAAGCTGTGAAATTAAAAGTTCTATTGATAGATTGAATTAAAAAAAAATAATACCCAAAAGACTGAGGGTATAACAATGCAAATTTCCTATTTAACCGGGTAAAATAATGCATTTTTAGACAGCATTTCCGTAAACACAGATGCTTTTTTACCTTTGGGGCGATGATCTGATAGATATTTTAAATAGGATTTGCGAAAATAGAAACAACACTTATCGAAGCAAACAGAATGTACAATGACCAATGCGAAGACAGAGAACTGGAATCAGTACAGCGCATAGGAAAGGGCACAAAAATCATTTAGAATAATGATTCAATGCTCATACATATCCGGAATATAGGTATCTTGGTCTGATCCATTAATAATTTACACTGATAATGGAAATACAGAATGCAGAGGTGAAACAGATAATCAAATTCATTTTCTAAAACTTCCAGAGCCTATTTTTAAAATTGAAATTGGACTATTGAATAACCGTTTAGAAGAAAAATACTTGATTAAAACTATTTTCCAATCCTTATATATTATGCGAAAGCTGTGAAATTAATATCTCTAGTCGGTACATGCAAAAGAAAAGCAATAGCCATAAGACTGTGGGTATAATAATGCAAATTTAATATTTAACAGAACAGAAAAAGAAGACAATTTAAAAAAAGTTTGTGCTGCTTTTTACCCATGGAGAAATTAATTGGTAGATATTTTTTATACAAACACTAGCTGAACCCGGTGCGCTTCGCTGCCCATTTTGATTTTATAAGCATTCAAAATTTTATTTACGAATATATGTTGGATAAAAAAAATAAATTTTAAAAATTAAAAAAAAATATTGCACTACTTTAATGCGTAAATAAACAAAACCATTTGAAAAGCAGTAACATTACATGCATACACGAAGGGTTTGTCCTTCGGATTTATTTATTTAATAGCAAATACCAAGCGTGCAGAAAACTGCTATTTTTTGAAGATGAGTGGCATTTCTATTGCAATTAGTGAATTCGAGGTAGCAACATACTTACCCGTAGTAAGCGTATTTCACATTAACTGTTGTGTTGTTTTTTAATGTTAGCCTAAGGCGTTGATGGTTCTTATTAAAATCATATCCCAATCTGATCCGATTTAAATATGATTTAAAAAAAATACTTTTACATCAAATTCCGCCACACCTTACATATTTAATTGAAATTGGTGCGTCAAATATGTGAAATCGGCCGAGAATATATATATGGGAGCTATATCCAAATCTTAACTAATTTCCAATTAACTTATCACATTTATTATTGTAACCAAATTCCGCCACACATTCTGAATTTCATTGGAATCGGTCATATATATCGTGTTTGGTACATAGCATATATGTAGTTGGCCGAAATATATATGCTAGCTATTCCCAAACCTCAACCGATTTCAATATAATTTGGCAATTTTTTTCTGGTGCCAGATTTCGTCTCTCTCGTTTTGGGTGCATCAAATATGTGAAATCGGCCGAGAATGTATATGGGAGCTATAATCAAATCTGAGCGAATTTGAATATAATTCGTTAAATTTAATTTTGAACCAAATTTAGTTTTAATGGCTAACTCATTGCAATCGGAAATACGTATCGTGTTTTGTGCATCAAATATGTGAAATCAGCGGAAAATATATATGGGAGCTATATCCAAATCTGAACCGATTTTAATATTATTTGACTAATTTATTTTATAATCAAAATCCCGCCACAAATTCCCAATTTCATTGGAATCGAACATACACATCGTGTTTGGTGCATCAAATAAACGAAATCGGTCGAAAATATATATGGGAGCTATTTACAAAATCTAAATTTTTGGGAGGTACCCCCGATTCTGATCCAAGTGGAATTTCAAAAATGTATATAGCCTTTGTTACTTTCAGGCGATGTTGCATGTAAATTTTAAGGAAAATCTGTTCAGCGGTTTTCGAGTCCGTAAATTACAAACAAATAAACATTTTCCTCTTTTTTTATAGATATAGAGATAACATCGAAGCAAACAGAAAGCACTATAACCAGTTCGAAGACAGAGAACTGAATCAGTATTACAGCGTATAAAGGAAGAGTAATAAAAATATCTAGAATAAGGAATGCTCATACAAATCCGGAATATAGGTATCTTCTTGCAGAAGGCGTTTCATCTAATCAAATACTTTACACTGATAATGAGAATACATAAGGCAGAGATGAAACGTAAAATCAGAAAAAAAATTTAATATTTTCGACCTATTTTTGAGGATGATTTTGAAAACTTCATAACCAGTTCGAACGAATAACGCGGAAAACACTTAATTAAGATGCATTTCCAATCAAACATTTTTCTAACTTTATTAACACGACGAAAGTTTTAGAATTTCAAAAGAATTTTGCTCCGCTCTGTCCGGGAATATTAAAAAAAAAAAAAAAAAACAAATTTCTGGCTATGGGGCGTCAATTGGAACTTTTTATTTCTTCAGCCTTGCGAAGAGCAGAGAGTAAATGGTTCCATATCCATTGCAGAAACTTGCCATACTTTGGCCAGAACCCTTGACCAAACTCAATTTATCTAGATATACCTCGAACGTATTACATTATTGAAACAAGGTAAATTTTCAAAATCTTTTCGACCTATTTTTTTTAAATAATTTGGAAAAATTAATAACTAGTTTCAACGAATAACGGGGTAAACGCTTACTTAAGATACATATCCAATCAAATATAAAACCTTTTAAATCCATAGCTGAATAGGATCCAAATTTGCCTTCTATATTGCTTTCCGCAACAAAGAGTTAAGCTGTATTTGGTAAAGTAGGCTTAACTTTACACTCCCTATTTTCATTACGTGAAACAAGCAATCTAGAGGCCAGCCTTCTGCAATTTAATTGCAACGAACTCCGATGTAGATAGATAGCGGAATTTATAAATCGCAGGAATATATTGACAGCAACGGTGGCGGAAACAATTCTAAATGAAAATTGCAACCTGGTACTGCAGTTAACGTATAGGGAAGGATTAAATCAGAAGAAGTGGAAGGGTATTAGTGTTCATGTTACATCATTGTATTCAATACAGGCCTATATCACTTGAGCTCGTCTCTAGTGCCCCGTACATTGTTGGTGGTAGCAGTCAATGTGGAGCCTGAAAATGCAACAATTTAAAAAGATAAGTTTTTATATTAGTTTTTTGTTTCGAAACTTACCCCAGCAATTATTTCTTTAAATAAATAAAAATTTATGAACTTTAATTTTGATGCTTTTGCGCATCATGTAAACCAAAAAATAAATTAATAAGAGGAGATGAATGGTGTTGCCATCACAAGCAAATTAGGGACCGTCCAATCGATATTAATTGTTTTTAGTAAGAATATCTCGGTCTTTGTATTCGTTTTTGAAATTGAATGATGAAATTGGCGAAATTTCTCGTCGCTAATATTCATTATTCTATATACTATTTTCTCCTGTGTTTATAATAATTTGCTTGCCCTTAATTCTATATATTATTGTGTACAAATATGGTGAACCTCCCTTTATGTCATCCTCCATGATTCCTTTTGAAATTGTTATATTCAAAGTATCATTGATTGCAACTTTTCCGCGTACTTAGTTAATATTTTCTGTTTCGATGTCAATTTTTCCCTGCAGGTGTCTAAAAGTTTCTTCACATCTGGAGGTCTATGAGTAAAGCAAAGCTTTAATTGTTTTGAACATTTAAATCATCGTTTATATTAAAACTCAATAATTCTACCCCGATAGCATTGGATGTATACAGCTGGAGACAAATTCCATTGAACATTGATCTGAAAGTAGTGAAGATGAAAGTGTTGTGACAAAACGGCTTAAGAGTCAGCAGTTATTTTATTAAAAAACATTTGATTTAGAAACCCCATTCAGTATGGCCTTAAAACGATACCACTCGCTTTCCGAATATTCATTACGAAGTTAATGAGGATTTCAAATGCTATATTCATATTTATTTTTCATCCGATTGCAGTTGATATTACACTATTTCATATAAATTTATCTTGCTTGCCCATCATTTTCCAAAACTATTTATTAACGAAAAATAAGTTTTAACATCGGCTTTCCAATCATTATAGGCGGCAACCTTCGTCTGGATCATGTATTCACCCTGAGGTAATGGAAAATATCTAAAAGTGTCCTCGTATAAAATCAAATTATCCACAATTATGTTATCCTAAAATCAAAATATTTGAATTTAAAAAACCTTAAAAAAACAATTATTCATTAATAGGTAGAGGAGACTTTCCCAACATACCTCATAGGGACAGGAATGATTTATATTGGACTGTTTCTTCAAAGCATTGAAGAAAAACTTTGAAAGACTGCCATGTTTCTTACTTGCCATAAATTTACAAAAATCAATTGTCTCGTTATAGAGAAATGGACGAAAAGTCGTCGATTTTTTGTGGAGTGACAAATTCACCTGGAATGGAGGAAAAATTATTTACAAGAGATGAAATTGTTCGAAATGAAGCAAAAAACGTCTACTCACCGTTATATTATTTACCGGCACTTGATAAAGTTCAACATCAATATTTAACGAAATCACACCACGTTTCACCACCTTTAAACGACATTTTAGAAATTTCGCAAATTCCGGATGAAAAGCGTCACATTGTAAATTTGTGAAACGTAGATCAGCAGCCAACACTCTTGTTGTTGCTATTGTGTAGAGAACACAAAAACAGAATCCGAGTACACAAATTGATTTCATATTGTTAACTAAATTTCAAAGTCTATAAATTTTTGATTATGGAAATTTTGAAAAAAGTTAATTATTTAATGCTCGACTGATAATAGTTTATTGTATGTAATCAATTTACATCTAAATGTTTTCAATAAAAAATGTATATAAATAACTCTGTAAGGTAGTTTGCTAATGTATCCACATTGAACATTGGAAAATAATTAATTTAAAAGTTTTGATTATATCTAATGGATAAATATGACTGAAACATAAATATGAAATTAATTAGGGCGCTATTAGACGACACGTGTATGTAGAGTAAAAGTTCCCCTATGTAGAGACCAGAGCACGAATATATTTCGCTTTGCACCTGGAGATGAATCTACTCACGGTTGAGAACTTGAATAATTGCAAAGAATTCGGCGATAGCAAAATCGACGATTTTTTTGGATGGTTGACCGAATGATGAAGGATTTATGAGGATATTCGAGACGATTTAGGGGGACTATGATATTGTTCGACAGAGATGTTTGTCAAAGGCTTCCGAAAACTACTACTGCCGACGAAGTCAATGCATATCTGAGATCCTGGTGTTTATGGCGGTATGTTAAGAACTTGAAATCCGCCGTCTTCTGAGCTATCTTATGCATGTCAGTCCTTCCGTCTGTCCATGTATTATTGTGAACAAAATGCAGTTCGCATTTATTGTCCTATTGAGGTGAAATTTTGCAAACAATATTTGTTTAGCCCACGGACAAATATATATATTCAACCGATTTCGGGTTAATAGTGCACCAAATATAAATGCAAATGACCTGAATTTTGGCACATACAACCGAATTCAGTCTAGACGCAGATAGATCAAATTTGCTGAAAATCGGTTCAGACATAACTATAGCTCCTATATATATATATATATATATATATATATATATATATATATATATATATATATATATATATATATATATATATATATATATATTTTATCCGATTTGGTGTTGGTGGTTCGTAATATGCAATGGACAAAAATGATGTTTGGTATCAAGTATCAAATTCAGCCCAGAAATACCTCTGCCAAACTTTATAAAGATCGGTTCAGATTTGGATATAGCTCCCATACATCTTCAACCGATTTCGGGTTAATTGTACCTCAAATGGCCAATATAAGTCCAAATGACCTGGTTTTTGGCACATTCAACCGAATTCAGGCTAGAATCAAGTAAATCAAATCGGTTCAGATATAGCTATAGCTTCTACATATATGTTTCATTCGATTTGGTTTTTAATACCTTAAAATTCATTGGACAAAATGATATTTGTTACCAGATATAAGATACAGCCCAGAAATACTTCTGCCAAATTTTATAAAGATCAGTTCAGATTTGGATATAGCTCCCATATATATCTTCAACCGATTTCGGGTTAGTTGTGCAACAAATGGCCAATGTCAGTACATATGAGCTGAATTTTGGCACATCCGACCGAATTCAGGCTAGAATCAAGTAGGTCAAATTTTCTTAAAATCAGTTCAGATATAGCTATAGCTCCCATATATATATATATATATATATCTTCTATATCTATAAAAGAGGAAAATGTTTGTATGTTTGTTTGTTTGTTTGTACTGCAACATCGCCTGAAAGTAACATAGGCTATATACATTTTTGAATTTCCGCTTGGAACTGGAGATATAGCATCAGAATCGGAGGTACCTCCCAAAAATTTGGATTTTATATGCACATATCTATTGATTGGTTGAAGATACAGTCTCCAAATTTGGAATACGTAACGGAATTTGGAACAAAAATAAGTTTGCCAAATTATATTGTAATCGGTTTAGATTTAGATATAGCTCCCATATATATTTTCGACCGATTTCGTTCATTTGATGCCTCAAACACAAAATGAATGTTCGATTCCAATGAAATTTGGAATGTGTGACGGGATTTAATCCGAAAATAAATTTGTCAGATTTGGATATAGCTCCCATATATATTTTCGGCCGATTTCAAGCATTTGATGCACCAATTTCAATGAAATTTGAAACGTGTGATAGATTTTATCTAAAAAATTGATTTCTCAAATTATATTGAAATCGGTTCAGATTTGGATATAGCTCCCATATACATTTTCGGCCGATTTCATGTATTTGGTGGACCAAACACGATATGTATTTCCAATTGTAATGAAATTTAAAATAAGTAACGGAATTGGGAGCCAAAATGAATTTGTCAAATTAAATTGAAATCGGTTCAGATTTGGATATAGCTCCCATATATAGTTTCGACCGATTTCATGTATTTTATGCACCATACACGATATATATGTTCGATTCCAAAGAAATTTGGAATATGTAACGGGATTTTGATTAGAAAATGAATTAGTCAAATTATATTAAAATCGGTTCAGATTTGGATATAGCTCCCATATATATTTTCCGCCGATTTCACATATTTGATGCACAAAAAACGATACGTATTTCCGATTCCAACGAAATTCGGCATGAATAGCTAAATTTGGTACAAAAATAAATTTGACAAATTATATTCAAATACGCTCAGATGTGATTATAGCTCCCATTTATATACTCAGCCGATTTCACATATTTGATGCACCCAAAGCGAGAGAGACAAAATCTGGCACCAGAAAAAATTGCCAAATTATATTGAAATCAGTTGAGGTTTGGATATAGCTAACATATATATTTCGGCCGATTTCATACATATTATGCACCAAACACGATATATATGACCGATTCCAATGAAATTCAGAATGTGTGGCGGTATTTGGTTATAATAATAAATGTGATAAATTAATTGGAAATTAGTGAAGATTTGGATATAGCTCCCATATATATATTCTCGGCCGATTTCACATATTTGACGCACCAATTTCAATGAAATATGAAAGGTGTGGCGGAGTTTGGTGCAAAAGTAATTTTTTTAAAATTATATTTAAATCGGATCAGATTGGGATATAATTTAATAAGATCCGCTGACCCACAACGCCTTAGGCTAACACTAAAAAACAACACAACAATTTATTTGAAATACGCTTATTACGGCGAAGTATGTTGCTATCACGAATTCACTAATTAGAATAGAAATGGCACTCTACTTAAAAAATTGCAGTTTCCTGCACGCTTGGTATTTGCTATGAAATAAATAAATCCAAAGGACAAATCCTTCGTGTATGCATGTCATGTTACTGCTTTTGTAATGATTTTGTTTATTAACGCATTAAATTAGTGCAATATTTTTTTTTTTTAATTTTTAAATTTGTTTTTCTTTATCCATCACTAGCTGGCCCGGTCCGCGTTGCCGGCCCCTACTTTTAGTTTTTAATGCATATTTTTTAAGGCATTATAGAACACTGATCTGAATGATTTCAAAATAGTCAAAGATAATTGGTCTTTTACACCCATTACCTTAAGATAGGAATTAATTTATTTTTGTCATTTAAATTGTGTGTTGGAAAACCCATAAAGTCCATATTTTTCTTCATAGTATAATTCAATAACGATCCAAAAAATAATATTCGTGATTTTTTCATGTTTCTGCCACAATTTGATATTTCGGAGTTCAAAGCATGTAGACGTACATCCCACTTCTACGTTCCCAGCCAATATTCTCTTGAGAGTTAAAAATTCAATAGTATACCAATTTTTTTTCTGACCAAACATTGGTTAGGAATGTGGATTTGCGGGTACACTAATGTGGGAACTATACTTAATAAAATGCCTATGTGGACAATTATCTGTAAGACGATTCTCTATCCCAGAGTAGCCTAAATACAATTTTTTAGCCAAATCAATTGATGAATGTGATCAAGACCAAGATGGACTCTACTCCAAAAGTCAAAATATTATGAGAAGAGGTTTTTTACACCCGTAGAAACAAAGATGTCAAATAAAGGCCTGAAAAATGAAAGAAAAATGTCGAAAACCCCGAATATAGCTTAAATTATATAATGGTTATACCAAAACGTGATCATTTTTTGCGAGGATGGTTTCTTCTCAAATTACCAACTTTTGCTAAAATGCGTATGAGTAAAATATGGTTAAAATGTAAACTATACTTGAAAAAGGAGTGTACCCTTATCCGGGGGTCATATATCGTGACCTGCAAAAGCGATTTAAGATATCTTGAAAGTTTTTTTTTCCTAAATGTCCAATTCGCTCTACCATTTTGCACCATTTTGCTCCAATGAATTGCATTTTGAGTTCTCATTGGGCGGATTATTGTAATATGAAAGAAATAGGTTCAGATATAAGGGTTATACCAAAGCATGGTCCTATTCTTATAATTATTTGAAAAAATGTGTTGTTCTTCTTAAAATCTCAAATTACCAACATTTAATATACATCTGATGTATATTTTGAACAACTGATTATTCATGAAACCCCTAGGAAAAATTTAAAACTCTATGGTAACTTTTGCGAAGTATAGAGCAAAATATTTGAGGCCCTTTGTGTTTGGTTAAACTATATAAAATGGACCCTAAAAACGTTTGATCCCCCCCCCCCCCTTTTTGGGATTGTTATGTACCAACCAAACTGACTACTGATGATAGCGCATAGTCACCGTATAACGTTTCATGGGAGTTAAGGTTACTTTTAAGGTTTCGGAAGAATTTTCCGAGGAAATGTATCCTTTTCTTTCCAAATTTTCAATTTGCTCCACTATTTTATATAGTTCGCATATAACAGTGCTCTTCATATTCGGTATTTCACTGGTTGCAGTCCCAATGAATTTTGCATTTTAAGTTCTCATTGGATGGATTATTTCCATATCTAGTCAATTTCCATTGAATTTTTTTTTTCGATTTTTCCCGATTTGAGAATTTTTGCCATGAGATCTCTTTTATCGTGTTTTTTTAGCGATTTTGAAAAAGTAATTATCTTTTAACATTGGTCTAACCGCGTTAAGTTATTTCGATATCATTTGACTGACTTCCATGCAACCCGCCATCAATTTCAGTTCTCAAGAAATCAAGTCAATTAAATACATTGGTATTAATATTCGAATTAACAAAAATATAAAAAAAACACTACAAATGTACATTAGAAAAAAGTAAGTCAAAATG